TGTATATGTATGTATATTCACACTGCTCCGCTACCTATCGCCGCTCTCTTATTAGTCCTATTCCTTTTTTGTCCGATCCTTTTCAGCGACTCTTAGGTGCTGTTTGGGCCCTAGTACTCTGTATCCCACCCATCTGTTGTCTCTATCGTTCGTTTCGCCTGCCCCCGCCCCCCCTCGCACTACATCGCTCCGTTCTTGCAGACTCATCCCTCCAACATATCCACATATTGGCTTTTTTTTGTCCACTCCGTATCATCATCCCCAAATCACTGCTTTCTGGATCGTATCCACCAAACTGATCCGATATTTCCCACTGTGCATTGGCTGTACCGCCCTGATTATCTGTTCCACATTGCTGGGTATAGCCGAGGAATCACAGGAAGAACACGCTCTCCGTGATTACTCTCTCACCCAGTATACTGCGCAAGACCTCTGGGGCTGAGCCAGGCCCACCCCCGTAAGTATTTACCTACTTGATGTGTGTTAGTGTACTACAGGGTTCGTTTATTTGGTAGTGGATATGGTAAGTATTTACCTACTTGATGTGTGTTAGTGTACTACAGGGTTCGTTTGTTTGGTAGTGGTTATGGTAAGTATTTATCTACTTGATGTGTGTTAGTGTACTACAGGGTTTGTTTGTTTGGTAGTGATTATGGTAAGTATTTATCTACTTGATGTGCGTTAGTACTACAGGGTTCGTTTGTTTTGTAGTGGTTATGGGAATTTCTTACCTACTTGATGTGTGTTAGTGTACTGTTGAGGTTCATTTATTGGATAGTGGTGTCGTGTGGTGTTTCAGCACACCCTTGCATCATATCATTGTAAGGCAAGTGCTGTAGTTCAGTACTTGGCATGTTTGATGGCTTTGTTGTTGTGTAATCGTGTAGTAGCCTTAAGCAGACTTTCCCTGAATGCCACCTATCTATACCAATCTCAGTCAAAGTAACGATTCAATCCATTCTATATCGCCCTTGCCTATCTATAACCGTATAAATCTGTGTACGGCCGCTCCTTCTACAACCAATCATCTAGATGTCTCTGCCCAGTAGAGACGCTACAGGACTGTAGTCTAAGTCCCCACAATCAGTATATATCTCTGCGGGTGTGCTATTGGTGTGTGTTCTGTATGCGTGTGATATCGGTGTACGCTTTGTATACGTATGGCTTTGTCGCAGTGACCTCGTGCGGATATCCGCACACGCACTCTTTCCCACACACCCGCGAGGGCCAATACGTTTACACCCATGTCACATGGCAAAGTAAACTAGACGAACCGGAAACACAGCATACATACACGGCAAAGTAAACTAAACTAAACGTAAAGTGAACTAAATGGAAACACCGCATACATACACGGCAAACTAAACTAAACTAAACGTAAAGTGAACTAAACGGAAACAAAGCATACTTACACGGTATAGTGAACTAAACGGAAACACAGCATACATACACGACAAAGTAAACTAAACTAAACGTAAAGTGAACTAAACGGAAACACAGCATACATACACGGTAAAGTAAACTAAACTAAACGTAAAGTGAACTAAACGGAAACACAGCATACATACACGGCAAAGTAAACTAAACTAAACGTAAAGTGACCTAAACGGAAACACAGCATACATACCTACACAGCCATAACATCTGTCGCATGCACACACCAACACCCATGCGCACACAGACGCCCGCCACTCCCGTCGAGTATCATCGCCAGTATGAGCCAAGCTAGTCTGGACCACAACAGTACCACCACATCACTAGGGACCAATGGCAGCATAGTCTTTGGGACATCAAACGAGGACAGGACCGGTCCAGAAAAGACGATTGTGGGTGCACCTCCCGTACGACCCCCTCCGCCGAGCGAGGCGGCCCTAAAAGGCACGGCTTCGGGTGTGGATACGAAATTGAGCATAGATACCATACTGTCCTTGCCAGAAACAACATCATCTGCTGGTGTGTGTTTTAGTGGTGGCAGGTTAATTATAGTATTGGTTTATATCTTCGATCTTTGTGAGATCGTATCGTATCGCCATGTTTATCTGTTTGTATGATGTATTCAGTTATTTATACGTTTTATTCATGTTTATTTTCATATGTTGGTAAAGTTTATATGATGTATTCAGTCATTTATATGTTTATTTATGTTTATTGTTTGTTTATGTTTGTATGACGTATCCTTCAATTTACATGTTTATTTATGTTTATTTATATATGTTTGTTTATGTTTATATGTGTATTCAGTCATTTATAAGTTGATTTATGTTTATTTATTTATGTTTGTTTATGTTTATATGATGTATGCATTTATTTGTACGTTTTTTTATTTTTTTTATGTATGTTTGTATATGTTTGTATGTGTATTCAGTCATTTACAAGTTGATTTATGTTTGTTTGTATATGTTTGTTTATGTTTATATGTGTATTCAGTATGCTTGCATATATTTATATGATGGGTTCAGTTATTTATATGTTTTGTATATCCAATTGTTTATATGTGTTTAGTTATTTGTACATGGATTAGATACCCAATTAGTCGTAGCCGTAAACGATGGATGGATCTCATCTGATGTGATGTGATGTGATCTTACAGCCCTGCCCTGCCCTCCTTTCGGACCCCTTGCTCATAAAATAAATACCGTAGTATGTGTATTCAGTCATTTACAAGTTGATTTATGTTTGTTTGTATATGTTTGTTTATGTTTATATGTGTATTCAGTATGCTTGCATATATTTATATGATGGGTTCAGTTATTTATATGTTTTGTATATCTAATTGTTTATATGTGTTTAGTTATTTGTATGTTTAGTATATATTCATTTTATATGTTTCATTTATGTTTATTTATAAATGCTTGTATATGTTTATATGATCTGTTCAGTTATTTATATGTTTTGTGTGTATATTTATTTATATATGTTTCATTTTATGTTTATTTATATATACTTGTATATGTTTCTGTTATGTATTCAGCTATGATTTATGTCTATTTGTATACACTTGTATATGTTTTTATTATGTATTCAGCTATGATTTATGTTCTACATGTATTTATTTCATATATGTTTGTATAAGTTTATATTTATATGATGTATTGTGTTATTTATGTTTTATTTATGCTTATTTATGTATGTTAATTTATGTTTATATGATGTATTCAGTTCTTTATAAGTTTATATATGTTGTTGATATATTCTTGTTTTATGTTTTTGTTTGTACTCAGTTATTTATGTTTTATTTATGTTTATTTATATATATATATATATGTTTGCTTATGTTAATATGATTTATTCAGTTCGGTAGGAGTACTGATTTGTTACAAGACAGAAGTACCTGTGTGAATAGACCAACTTGTATATACCGTGTCAGTGTGGGTGGCCCCACCTACGCTTCCTTCCCCTTGTGCATAGGGATGTCTGAGATCTCATACAAATGTGTGCTGATATTGGCCATAGATACCATAGAACCAATACCGAGTAAAACACATCCTTCTGTTTCGTTCTATCAAATATCCTTTTTTTTTCCTTATTGGGGTGTCACTTTATGGCAAGCTAGTGTTTTCTGTTGCATAGTTTGTCTCTGTGAGAGTGTGCGTATGTATGTGTGGGTGTAATTATATGCTGCTATCAATCGCTTAAGAACATGTCAGTTCGAAGTCTTCAGTGGTGGCATGGGGTGGAGTGTGTTTATGTGTGTGCGTTGGTTGTCAGTGTACACACGTTAAACGACGTTAACTGGATAGTGAGATTAGAGTGTTTTACAGTCTCCATATGAAGTTGGGAGTATTACAGTACATCAACGGTGTAGTGTTATTGATTTTACAGTGCTATTAATAGGGCTTCAGTATTCTGCATTGAGCTGTATGTGGTCTTATTTAGTGAGAATTTTCCCGAAGCTCTGAGTGTGCCTATGTCCTATTACGTACACGTATAAGTACACATATACGTATACCGTATTATTTATGCACATCCACCTGTACGTATTGGCATTCCTCTCAACGCATACCCTGACCTATCCGTGCAGTCAAGCGCCGGTCTCGCAAAAGCTCTAAATCCGATAAGAAGAACAAAGACGGCAAAAAGGAAAGCAAAATACATCGACGACAGCGCAGCAACACCATGTCGGTTGTGGGCAACCAAAATGCCACAGATAAAGCCAACTCGATGTATTTGTCGGCAGGCCTTGAGAAGGATGGGGCAATTAAAGAGGAATCAGCGACCAGAAATTCCACGGACACACCGTCGTTTGCCAGACGGCGGCACAAACGGTCAAAGAGCGCGTACTACGAACGCCCAGGTAAGTGCCATATCTCTTGTCTGCTTATTTTGTATCATCCAATCTCATTACCCCCATATCATCGATATATATATA